AATAACTTCATTATTAATTATTTCATTACCATAAATGAAGTAGAATCACAGTAAATAAAATGAACCGTTATTACTATTACTATTATTATTATTATTAAAAATAAAACCGTTGCCCTACATAGCTGCGCGCTATGGCTTCCTCCTTCCATTCGAGCGATGACAAGCAGATGCTGTCGATCTCGTTTTTTCATTTTTTTTTGCCTTTTTAATTATACATATTACACATAATAAAGGGCGACAACCTTGAGATGAGATATCATCGTTGAACTGACCAATCGCAGGTACATTGAGAGTTATTTATTTTCTTTCTTCCTTTTTTTTTTTTTTTTGAATTTCCACTCAGCTAATTCCGTCCGAATTCGAACTCGCTCGAGACCTTTAATACTAATTAACCTTTAATTAATTAATTATATTGAAATAGTGTATCTGAAATCACCAAAAAAAACAAAGAAAGAGGTGTGCGTGCGTGGAGGACGGTTCCAGATCCTCAAGGGCAGTGGGGGGATTGGGGTGGAGGAGAGGGGAGGGGACTGTCGTGTTCTTTTCTGTTCTTTTGTCGGAGTGGACTTGAATACCACCACCAGCAGGAGGAGGAGGAGGAAGAGGAGGAGGAGGAGGAGGAAAGGGAGCGGAGCGAGGAGTTGTTGTMGCGGAAGTTTTGGCGGGAACAACAGAAACTGCCAGCAATGCAGCCTCCACGTCAGCCACCACGTCAGCCTCCAGGTCAGCCGCCGCTACCTTCGCGCAGCTCCCAGCGAATGGCGACCGATGATGATCAGATGAAATACCACGATCGCCGATCCGACAATCGGACGGCTCTCGCATTGGCAYTGCTGTTCGTCGGGACGGCCGCCATCCTCACGCTCGTCGCCGCCTCCGGGATCCCGGTCGCCGACGCGCGGCCCGTGGAGCAATTGCACAGCCCGTCGAGGTCGACGGGTCAAGAATGGACAGTAGCACAGGCCTTGCATTTTCGTAGGCAGGTGAAGGAGCAGCAGACCGAGCAGCAGCAGCAGCAACAGGAGAAGGAGGAGGAGGAGGAGGAGGAGGAGGAGGAGGATGGGGGAGAGAATATGAAAGAGACGAAAGGCGGGAGCTCATCGAAACAGAATACGAGGTGGTGGTCTTCCCCGCTAGTCATGCCCGGCGGTCAAGAAGGATGGCGATCGGGGAGCAGCGGCGATCTCAAAAACCCAGCGGTGCTTGTCGATGAGCAGCAGCAGCAGCAGGAGGAGGAGGAGGAGGAGGAGGAGGAGGAACAGGTTCTCGTCGACAACCTAGCGGTGCTCGACGATGGCGATCGGGATCGCGATGGGCCAACAACCGACGCAGCCTCGTTCGGGGGGAACGCAAGAGCAGGAGGCCGGCTGCTGTCTCCCTCGGCGCRCTCGGCGCACCCCTCCGCGCACGAGGCGGAGGCAACAACAACTTCGACGGCGACGATGACGGGGATGAGGATGAGGAGGACGGACATGGGAACAACAGTCGAGTCGACGAACCTGCAGGCTTCATCTTCCCAMGAGGAGGAGGTGGAGCAAGGGGGGGAGAAGGAGAGGGAGAAGGAGAAGGAGAAGGAGGAGGAGGGGTGCGAGATGCCTTACGGCGTCCTCCCCTGCTCAAGCACTGTCATCGGTAATTTGTTCTTGATGTGGGCCTACGGATCCATACTCATTGCGGCGGCCAGGTTCATCTCTGAAGGCAGCGAGCTCCTCCTCGAGATCGTTAATCCTGGCTTGATTGGCGGACTTGTCCTGCCTACATTGGGCGCATTGCCTGACGCGCTGCTGATTATGGTGTCAGGTCTGCGCGGGACGAAAGAGCAGGCGCAGGAGGAGGTGGTGGTCGGGGTCGGGGTCCTAGCGGGCAGCACGATCATGATGCTGAGTCTGGCCTGGGCGGGATCTGTCATCGTCGGGAGATGCGACCTGGCCGGCCCCAAGGCCGAGGCCGTCGAYGGGAAGCTCAGCTTCGGCTGGTCCCCTTGGCGGACAGGTGTCACCACCGACGACGATACACGTGTCAGCGCCGGGGTCATGATTCTCACCGTCGTGCCTTTCGTCATCATCCAGATCCCGTTGATCGTTCGCCAGTCGCAGGAAGGACCCACGGCCGCTCTCTTCGGACTCATCTTCGCCTGGGCCATCCTCATCSTCTACTTCATCTATCAGGTCACCAATCCCATCCTGCAGAGGAAGAGGATCGAGCAGGCAAGGATAGACCTGGTGCACCACGAGTTCGTCCGYGACCTGTCGGCCTCCGCGAAGAAACTGGGCGGACTGCTGAACGACRACGGTTCGGCGAACAGAGGGGCAATTGAGAAATTGTTCGACAAAGCCGACAYRGACGGCAACGGCCATCTGGATCCCAACGAGGTCAGGGTGTTGCTGTTGGGACTGGCGCCTGACGTGGCGAGCAGCGAGGACGGCCACGTGGAAGAACGAGCGTCGAACATTTTCCAAGCGATGGATCTGAACTCCGACCGGCGCATCACGAAGTCGGAGTTCGTCCCGACGCTGACGACCTTTTTGGAGAYGAAGAGGCGTCTGGACAGGGAGAACCTGATGCACATGCACAAGCAGGAGTTCTGGGTGGAGGAGACAGAGAAGCAGAGGCTAGTGTACTCAGAACTAGTGGCGATGGCGGCGGAGGAGATGGAAGAGGAGGGGGAATCGGCGGGGGGGGAGAAGACGTTGAGCAAGCGGGAAGTGTATTTCTGGGCGGTGCTGTATATGGCGCTGGGGGCGGGATTGGCCGCGGTCTTCGCGGATCCGGTAGTCTCGTCGGTATCGGGATTCTCCAGGTCRTCGGGAATTCCCGCCTTTTTTGTGGCCTTCGTGGTCACCCCTCTGGCGTCGAACTCGAGCGAGATTGTGTCGTCGTTCATCTTCGCGATGAAGAGGAAGAGGYGCTGCATGTCRCTCACCCTCAGCCAGGTGTACGGAGCCGTGAGCATGAACAACACCCTCTGCTTGGGGATCTTCTTGACCGTCGTGTTCGCACGTGGGTTGACGTGGCAGTTCTCCAGCGAATCGCTGGTTATCCTGATAGCAGTGCTAGTTATGGGGTCGATGGGATACTCGCGCCGAACTTTCCAATTGTGGATGGCCGTTCCTGTTCTGGCACTCTACCCGCTCACGCTGGCAATCATCTACTTCTGTGACACCTTCCTAGGGTGGAAATAGTTATACATTTCTATATATAGATATGTATGTGTGTGTGTGTGTGTGTGTGTGTGTGTGTGTGTGTGTGGCTCTGTGTGTGTGTGTGTGTGTGTGTGTGTGTGGTGACATTTGCTATAAACTACATTTGCTATAAACTACTCCACAAAGAAAATCATGACCGTGCCAGACTGTTACGTCGGACTTTCACCCACTCATCAGGAGGGTTGTGTGTGTGTGTGTGTGTGTGTGTGTGTGTGTGTGTGTATTTACATAAACGGATATGTAGATTGAGATAACGAGTATAGAGAGAGAGTTTTGGAACTTGGTTGGATTTGCGCTTGCAGGTGGGGTGATGTGTTGTTGTTTTTTTCCCTTTTTTTCTGGTTTTGCACCTTGCTTGGGTGCAAATAAAAACAATGTGTGTACAGATATCTGTGCGCTACTACACATAATTGATTGATTGATTGATTGGAAAGGCCAATCAGACTTGGAGATAGCTGGTTTTCAGCGAAATCTATCGAGGTCGATATAGAATAGATAGCTAGCTGGTTTTCAACGAAATCTATCGAGGAAGATATAATTAGATAGGTGGTTTCCAGCGAAATCTATGGAGGTCTATGGATGGATAAGGTAAGGTAAGAATAGATAAGGTAAGAATAAATTTAGTTAGATAATACAAAAGTTAAGATGCAAAGAATGGATGGGTAGATATAAGGTAAGATAAAAATAGATACGCTAAGATACAAAGAATAAATAAGGTAACACACGGTGACATGAAAAGAGGGACGGGCTAAGATCAGAAGAAGAATAGATGGTCGATGAGCATTGTAGAGAATGTTGGTTTTTGGAATTTTGACAGGCTTGCATCCCTTCGTTGTATGGCTGGCTGACGTGGAATCAGCTCGCCTTGAAAATGAGTAAGTACATATAAAACAATAGATATCTAAAGATTTACATATATATATTCTGTTTGATGATATATATAATATATATATATCATCACAAACAGAACTGCCCTGTAAACCATAGGCAGAGAGAGAGAAGAGGACAACAAACGAGGGGCTGTGACGATATATATATATAAGACTAAATATAAGGGTGACGAAGAGGAGGACAACGAGGGGCTGTGACAGATTGTTTGGTTGGAGTTTCACCAACTCGTCAGGAGGCTGAATATACATCTATAGATTCTATACGACATATACGTATACATAGATATATATAGTTGTGAAGATATATATATTTGTATACATAATTATGGAAGAGGAGGCTGACAGTGTATCTTTATTTATGTATATATATATTCATATATATCGTCAAACAGAGCAGAGCTGCCCGGTAAAGAGTAGGCAGAGAGGGAGAAGAGGACAACAAACGAGGGGCTGTGACAAACTGTTCTGTTTCGTCAGAGTTTCACCGACTCATATATGTATAGATATAGATAGATAGAGGAAGATGGATGAGTCCACAGTGGAGAAAATACATGTAGATTCAGTGCATAAGCAATGCAGGCGTGATATATGTCTGTTGCAAAGTGCAAGCTATGGACGTTTGAGGGAAGAGATGCACGAGTGCTTCAAATCTATGACGAACACTCAACTGTAGTCACACCAAATTCCCCCCCCCCCCCCCCCATTGATATGCGCATTATTGCAGTTGTCCCTAGGGAGGCACTTCGGGGGGACAAATGCCAATGCGGGTCGGTGTAATCTCTGCGTGTCTTGAGGGCGGGAGACAGAAGAAGACCCTGACACGCCGGGGCCAGGGGCGGCTCAGAGAGAGAGAGAGAGAGAGAGAGAGAGAGAGAGAGAGAGAGAGAGAGAGAGTTGACATAAGTTTTCCTTATCAAGTTTGGCCCTTAACGTCACCATTGCCTGACAATCCCCTCCCTACCCCTAACCCCCCCACCCCCCCGGCCCCCCCCCTAAAGCAAATTTTGGGACTGTGAACGAGGAGCAGTCCTATAGTGTAGCGGACCTTGGGTTGGCCTGTGAGACCAGGCCCTTGGCCTGTTCTCACAGGCCTCTGTTATATTCGGGGTAGGCCAGTCCAGGGCGGTACCTCTGTCGGTACCAGCCAGTCCAGTCCAGTCCCGTCAGTCCGTTGGGGTATACCCCAGCCATTGTTTGTTTTCAGTCTCATTCCTCACTTGCACATTTTGGAGTACGTGCGTTGGAGTCTTGCGTGGGGAGCTGCGTTGTGCCATCTTGCTCCCCCTTCTTCCTCCATCTCCATCTCTGTCACTAGCGGAGCACCACACCTGGTGGGTCCGCTACATTGGTATCGGAGCGGGAACGGTCCCCGCCCCCACCCAGCACACCGCACAGCAGGGAAATACGGCAAAACCCAACAGTCGGGTTTTCGGCTGTTTTTTGGGCGTTTTCGGGCAAAAAAGCGGGAAAAACAACGAAAAAAGGTGCTGCAGCAAAGGCCGCCGCACGCGCACGCGCTGCCCTGCTGCCCCGCCCCGCTCCCGGATTTATATTATCAAGATCCGGGATGCAACTGCTGCTGCTGGGGTTTGAACCCAAGCACCTGCCGAGCCATGCGCGTGTGTAAGCAGTCTCATAACACACTCGCCACAGTGTGTCTATGGCTCT